TACTTGGACTGGTACCGGCCTACCTCTAACCTACCGCTACTGGGCCTCTAAAAATGCCAACTTTTTGTCTTCTTCTGCTCGGCCTACCTACTACTTGAGTGTTTTTCCCCAGCTGCTCTAAGTGTCGTGGGCCTACTCCCCGCTACCGGCGTGTTTACCCCCCTGCAACCCTTCAAAGTCACGGCCACAGGTAAGTACCGGCCCGGTGGGCCTTGCAACCAACAAGTACCCTTGCGGGTCACACACACACCTTCCCAACCAGCAAGCACTCAGGCAGGCATGCAAACCAGCAGGCACGCACACACACACAACTGGCAAGCACTCAGACAGGCATGCAAACCAGCAGGCACGCATACACACAGACTTGGGACCACAGCAGAATGTGGGAATCACAGCAAGGCATTCATTCCATTGGCAAATCCCAAAAATCAGCAATGTTCCCAGTCTGTGTTTTTGGCGGGTTATTACATCTCTTTGTTTTTCATAATTACCATCAAATGGTAGGTGGCGGTTCTCCTGAGAATGTCTTAGGATTCTGGGTACTTCTTGCAACTCATTATAAGCTTCTTTGTTGTTGTTAGATTCATGGACCTGCGGTTTTTCGATGCCAGAACAACGCTTGCCGGAGCTGGGGGGTTGCCCTGTAACCTGTCGATGGCAGGAGCATGAGGCCTGGTAGAGAGATCTGGGGATGCCCTTGGCCGGGCATTCCAAGGGAAAACCAAGGGTTGCTGTCGGGACAATGCTGGCAGGAGCTGGGGTGAGTTGTGTTGCCTTGTAACCTAGCAAGGTGGGGGCATGAGGTCTGGGAGAGCCCAGCAGGGAATTAGACAATGTTAGAGAATTTTATAGTGTTTTGTGGGGGTTTCCAGGGATTCTGAGCATTCAAAGGACTTTTTCTCTATTTTTTTTCTGGATTTTTATGAATCGTTTCATAAGTTCTCAGATTCCTCTTAGCCAAAGTCAGGTAATGGCCTTGGCATTTTAAAATTATTTGTATAAATTTTACATGGGATGTTGGGCCCGGTTCCCAGCACGTGTTGCTCCCCACGAATAAATTGGAGTTTTTGCCCCCCCCCCACTCAAAAAAAAGGACTCACACACCCACCCGGCTAGGTTACAGGGCAACACGACTCGCCCCAACTCCGGCCTTGTCGTCTCAACAGCAACCCTTGGTTGTCCCTTGGAATGCCCACCCCAAAGCATCCCCAGATCTCTCTACCAGGCCTCACGCTCCTGCAATCAGCAGGTTACAGGGCAACATCCGAGCACCGGCCAGCGTCGTTCTGGCATCGAACGACCGCAGATCCATGAATGTACCAGTATCAAACAGCCTAAAGCGAGTTGCTAGAAGTCCCCATAATCCTAAAGCATTCTCAAAACCACCCGGAAGATGATCCTCTTTTTTAAGGCAAAATTCAGAAAACGACTCACAAACCCCCCATCAATCCCCTTACCTCACTCCGACAAGACTTACTGCAGCAGAGCCACCATCTCCACTGATGTTGTACCCTATTTCCATCCTACGAGCTAGCCCCCTCAGACGCTTGATATCCCACCATCTGGTTTTCCCACTCACTTTTTTTTTTTTTTTTTTTGTGCTGGAAAACCGGGTCCAGCGTCCCATATGGCTTTTTACAAAACATGTAAGGAGCCAGAACCATTGCCCAGCTTTGGCTAAGAATTAACTGAGATGGGAATTTAGAAAATTATGAGCAACTTGCCAACTACTACCTTTTTTTTTTTCTTTTTTTTTTTAAAGAAGGTCCATGGTGTTGTAGAGGCAGTCACTGAGTACACAGTGATCACCTGGAGCAGTAGGTCGTGGGTGTCCTGGAATATGAGACCACCTCCCATCCCATCCTCACGTCAATACTCCTAGCGCACCCCCTATCCCACTATCCTACCTCAGTGTGATCAGCACTCTGGACCGTTAGCCTACCAATGGGCCGGTAACTTGGACTGAACAGCAGTGATAGGCACCAGGGCGATAGGTTGCCCAGCCTGGGTGGAAGCGGAATCGGACGAGCCTTGTCGAACGGGAACTTCGGACGCCAGGCCCAGACAATCTACTTCAGGCCCCAAGAGATTCTAGGCCCTAGGTTTCAGACAAGGTAGCACCCAATGAAGCAGTCTTACCGTCCTTCCCCTAGCTTATCCAAGGCCACGCGGAACTCGGACTGGCCTGAGCGACTTATACCCCTACCCTTACCCCAGGGTCTAAGCCTTATATATAGCCATAGACAATTCTATCCGAATATCAGTAGGAACTCCAGTGGCCCATACCTGTCCCTACTGCAGATACTAGACCCCATCCAGTGACTAGACCCGCCCAGTCCGATAGTTGTGTAGTTCGCAATGTATGTGTATACCCGAAGGCTGTGTATGCTTCGTGTATCTATGTATCAAGATGTACAGACAACACTATGTGTGGAAACTTGTGTGTATGTAGCTCGTAGGCCATGTATAATTCGCAAGCTATGTACTATGAATCCCCGTCGGCGGCAGCCAAGCGCGGCCGAATCCGCGGACGCGGCCAGGCCGCCGACCCCGCGGACGCGCGGATTTGAAGCCACGTGGCGGCCAGTGGGGAGGGGGGTTGGGGATTCTGGAAGCGCCATGGGGCGGCGCAACCCCAGCCCCACCCCCTGGAACAAAAAAAAATGGGAATTTTTTTTTTTTTGGTTGGGGGGGTTCGGGTGAGTAAAGGTATTT